CCTGCCACTAGCACTCCCCCTCGGAGCCTCAGCTTCCCATCCAGAGCAGACCACCACTACCTTCCACAGGATGTGGCTGGGGCCCCCGCGGACCCTAGCAGTCCCAGCCACAGAGCACACAGGTCAGTGGCACCCTCCTTGGGCCTGCTAAGGGCCCAGAGGTAGCGTGCACTGGCACCAGTGTGGTGTAACCGAGAAAGCACCTTCCACGTGCAGTTTTTCTCACCGAACCCACACAGACGACCCTAAGTAGGGCGCTGCTGTAGAGGAGGAACAGGGTCAGAGAAGGTTGGTAACTTGCCCGTCACAGGGCTGGCGGAAGGCTCGAACTGTGAGGCTGTGCCTGCCTGGTGCCTGGCAGAGGAAGCCGGGCTCCCCACGGCCTGGCCCTGCCCAGGCCTGCAGCTGGGGCAGAGGACCGGTGTCCTGGAGGGGCCGGGAAAGGGACACGACACTGTTTACTTGAAACAAACTTTTATTCTGAATGCTGGTCTGGTCAGTCCATGGCCACAGGTCAGTGGTAACTAGAAACAGTTGGAAGAGGGGAAGAGGGCCCAGCAGAGGGAGCAGCGGTGGGGGGACGAGACAGGAAGGAGGTGAGGCTGAGGAAGGACCCAGCCAGCTGGGTGTCTACCCCGGCTAGAGAAGGAGCACGCCCACCCTCAGCCCACCTAAACCAAGGGCTTCAGTGCAGAGCTCAGTCCAGGCTGGGGTGGGGCCCACGCACCATCCCACCCCAGGCAACTCAGAGGACTAAGCTCTCCGTCTGGGCCTGGAGGCACCTTTCCACCACTCCTTCCCTGCCCTCCCTGCTGAGCTCAACAGCTTTGCTGCACCCCTGTGGCAGGGAGGGACTCCAGCCCCCACCTGGCTTAGAGGAACCACCCCTAACGCCACCAACAGGAGCTGCTGGAAAGTATGATCCTGAGTGGCCCGGACCCCAGTCCAGTACCCAGTGCCCCGAGGCCCAACAGAAAGCCAGAGTCCAAGCAGGAGGCAGCTCCCGGGCAAGGCGAACCTCCAGGCCGGGCTGACGGCAGGAGCCAGGGGAGCCAGGGCCAGCCCGGGCAAACAGGATTGTCTCCAAGGGCAAGCCCACCAGCGGTCTTTGGGTCAGTGGCTGGGGTCAGGGTCAGGGTCAGGGTCGGGGCTGAAGCTCCTACCATCCAGTTGCCCTCCCCTCCGCACATGTACGGGCCGTAGTTGAAGAGCTTTTGGCATTATCTGTTTGGGGGCTCAACAGGTAAGAGAGGGGGGTAAGGGATGGGGATGCCACCGCATCTCCCTGTCAAAGTCCCCAAGTCCTAGATTGGGGTTCCCTGCCCTGGCAACAGCAGACAAAATCCCAGGAGCCCCCCAGCCTAGCCACACAGGGATGGTGGGCTTCTTCAACTCCTGACATGCCCTAAGGGCCCTGAGGATTCTCACAGACAGACACGTGGACGGGTGGACAAACGGGCAGCCATGGAGGAGAGAAGAGAGACCGGCAGGGCCTTGCCCGCTGCCCTCCTGCGCACACATGCACGCACACACACACACACGCACGCATGCACGCACACACTCTAAACAGAGACAGAGATTATATAATAAAAAGAATAAAAACTAAGGGCCCAGATGTACAAAAAATGTGTGAGTGAGGAGGAAGGCAGGGGATGGGGAATGGTCTGTCCCTGGAAACCTGTCCCCCTTCCTCGGTTTGTGTCAACCCCCGGAAACGCTGGGGCAATGAGGGTCCGCTGCGGCCGGGGGAGGGCGGGGGGTGGTCAGAGCTGCTCCGTCCACCTGCTGGAGCGTGGCCAGAGTGTGAGGACCCCTCGGGTGGTGGGGGAGGGCAGGGAAGATTCAGCAGCCACTGGCAGGG